CCCCACGGCGGGATTCTTTGAGCATGTGGGTCCCTCCGCACTGCGCGACCAACTCCGTCCGTGCACCCCAGATGATTGCGCCTCGCACGGGGCAGGGCGGCGGAGCCGGCCACCTCCTCCGAGGTGCCCTTTGGCTCCGTCCCGAAAGGCGTGGAGCTCCACTCCGGGTTTTCCGCTGGGTGGCCGCTCGAGGGCGTCAGCTCCGAACTCGACACCGTAGCCGTACCGGGAAGACGAGATGGTGTGTGCAAAAACCAGGAATGGAGTTTTGCCAGCACAGGGCCTGCGCCCGCGCCCGCTCACTCTGATGGTTCCCAGAGCTTGCACGCAGCGGGAGCCCAAAGGGCTAGGATCTCTGCCCTCTATGGGGCACTAGGTCTACCGACCCAAAACCACATAAGAAGAAAGCGTATCTTTCAGCTTCTGCCCATCCTTCTCCTGTTTGTTCTTCCTCTGTCCCTTCCCTCTTTTCCTTGACCCAGCACCTCCTTGGTAGGAAAGAAACACCCCCTTTCACTGCCAACACTCGGGCTCTCTTGGCCCTCTCTGCCTCTGTGCCTTCTCAACACAGTCCAAGTTCTGGTAAACCCTATTTCTCTTACTTCTCCTTCCTCACAGAATGGGAATGATTTGATTTGGGGAGAGGGAAGAGAGACCCATCTCCCAAGAATTTTAAAGGCCTGTAACTGAACCACTGGTGGTAGCAGGTATGGACACCTCCTTGCACACACCTACAGAACTAATGGACTGCTACACACAAGCACACAGACAAAGCCTAGCACACAAAGAGACACAGATACTTCCATAGTACAGGTCTTGCCCCTACCTTGCACTTAAGCGAGCAAAATCCCAGGTTTCTGGCAGAATCCTGCCTTCCCCTCTTCTGAGAATGCAGTTCACAGGTGAGACAGGCTTTCCCAAGTTCAAGATTCCTATTTCCATTCCAGAAATCCACCTAACTGCCTTAATCCCAGGCAGCTCATGCCCAGCCACACCCCACCTTCCCACAGCCAGTAGGTAGCTAGGACCCAAGGACAAATCTCTGTCCCAAGTTTCCCCTAACACACACACACACACACACACACACACACACACACACATCATCCCCTAGAACTCACAAGGAACCTTCCCCCCTCCCCACCAACACACACACATACATTCACCTCCACCCACAGCTTTTCCGGTTGAGAAACAGATAAGGAAATTCCCCCAGAAAACCTTCTCAAAGACTGTTCCGGTGAAGAACAGATTTCCTGGGATTGAATGTTCTAATTAAAAATGGAAGGAAAAAAAAGGCATCAGTAGGTTAAGGCCTGCGATTCCCCAACAGCCAGAAATTTCAGCCCTTTCCTTCTGATCAAGTGCTATCTCCGTCCCTCCCTCTTTTCCATATACTCTGTAGCCGTCCTCATCCGCAGGCAGCCGAGAATCCAGGAGCTGTCCACAACTCTCTTTTGGGCCTAGAAAGCGCCAGAAAACCAAGCCACAGGCAGGGATTCCAAGGTCCCTTGCCTCAGCTTCCTACTCCCACCCCCAACTGCATCTCTCATTGCTCTTATTAAGAGCAATAATGCACCATGGTACACACCCACTCCACCAGGCCATCACGGCACACGCAGAGGTCCCCATTCAGGACTCTCCCCACTCCAGAGCCCTCCCTGTCACCAGCCTACAAGCCTGGAGAGGGACAGCAGAACCCCTAGTCATTGCAATGCAACAGGTCTTTACTGAACATCTGGAAACACGTGCTTTCTCAGAGTTAATGGAGAAGACATCTGAGAGATGACCCTGTCACCAGTCCTCAGGTGACAGAGGGTGAAGCCAAGGCCTTTCGAGGAGAAAGAACTGATTCAGAGATGTAACAGCCCAGGGAGCTGGTGAGAGAACCTGGAGGAGGAACCCTTTACCAACCATTGTGGGATTTGTGAGGAGACCCGGTGCCTGCTCCTGCCCAATAGCATGCAGCCTGTCCCTTAACAAAATATAAAAAGGTCTCATTCACTCCCAGGAGGCATTAGACAAGGATTGTTCCAGAATGTAGGAGCTGGGTAGTCCTCAAGCATACTAGATGAACCCTGTAAAATATTGTGCAAACTGAGCCTCCCAGGCATTCGGAATCTTGGCAGTATTTTATTTCTTGCCTGCTTCATGAGAAACTTTGGACACACCCTTTTTCTGGGCCTTAGTCACTTTGTTAAGGGTACAGAGTTATCGGAAAGAGAAAAGAATACAGATTTCTGTGGCTTTGCCATTCATAGCTGTTTTTACCCTGGGCAGACATCTCTGAGCCTTAGTTTCCTCATTCCATATAATGGGAACAACAATACCTATTTCCTTTGACTTTTGTCAGATTAAATGTAATTACATGATTGAAGCACTTAAAGTAATGCTTAGCCCACATACTTTATTCTAGATAGAGACCGAGTACCATTATTATTGTTATTTGTTTATCCTTACCAGAGATACCACATACTCCCCATTCCCATGTTTTTGCCTGTCAAGGAAGTCCTTTCAGATGTCTAACCTAGAATCATAGCAGCATTTCAAGGCTACTCTCTGCTCCTGGAGTATCATGAGATCCAAGCCAATTGTGAGTTCCTGCCTTCTGAGCACTCACAGAAGACTGGAGAGAGGAGGAAATGGAGTCTGCCTAGGCGAGCAGGTCCTCAGAGAAAGGAGATGGGAGGCTGGGCATCACTCCTGCCTTGCCTTCGGGTCCTGCCTCTTGTCAGGGAGGCTGGGCCTCTGCTGCTCTGCTGTTTCTCTCTGGCCCCTTGGAGGAGGCCCAGAGAGCCCTTCTCCCTCCCTGATGCTGCTGGCCCCTGTATCCTGGGTTCCATGACGTGGCAGGAAATGCTGGCAGCACCTGGTTCCCCAGGGACTGGCTTGCTGCATGCAGTGGACCCCTCAGGCCTGTTTCCGATCTGGCTTCGTCATCAGGGCCAGGTGTCCTGGGTCGGCTTCAGGGAGTGACTGGAAGCAGGGAGGGACATTCTGTCCCTCAGGAGCAGATGCCAGGCCTCCACTTTCCCAAACAGGGCCCCTGAGGCCACCTGGCTGTGTTGCTAGGTCACGGCTGGGAGGCATGGCTCCTGGGTTCCCCTCTGGCCTCTACCTGGCATGGTCTCCGCTGCTGCTGTCTACCCACAGCTCCTGTCCCCTCACCCCCCACCCCCTGGGCTACAGGATGAATTATTAATAAAAATGCTGAGGAAGCTGTTTGTGCAGCTCACGTGACAGAACAAACACACCTCTCTCCTTGCCACCATCCGTGTGGCGAGAGACTCAGGCCGAGCTTTGGCCTGATCCAGGAAGGATGGCCTGAGACCAGCCAGAAGGGCAACCCGGGTGCCTGCCGATTGTGCCTGGCCAGGAGCAAACACTTGTTCTGCCACCCTGTCCCTGCAGCTAGCCCCCCCGGGCTCCCCCTTCCTCCTCTGCAGAGGCCAAGAGTCTGCAGAGGGCAAAAGCACAGATTTAACAGATGTCATCCTCCCAGCAAGGACATGATGGCAAACCCCTAGACGGCAGCTGCAGCCGTCCCCTTGCCCACCTCAGCATAATAGAGACTGGATCAATACTTGCTGATTAATTACCTCCTGTCTCCAGACCCAGTCACCACCAAATCTCGTGGCCTACCCAGGGCCCAGGCTTGTCATACTTCTGCCGGGCTTTGCTTTGGAGGTCTGGTCCTGAAGAGTCAGGGTCTGTCCCCACAGCATCAAGAGAAGAACACGAAGCTGGGCACTGTGGCACATGCCTAGAAGCCACTTGGGAGGCTGAGATAGGAGGATCTTTAATTTGAGGCCAGCCTGGGCAACTTAGTGAGACCCTGTCTCAAAATACATTTTTAAAAAGGGTTGGGGATGTAGCTCAGTGCTTGCATAGTATGTGTGAAGTCCTGGGTTCAATCTCCACTACAGCAAAAAGAGGGAGACGGGGAAGAAGAGGAAGAGGAGGAGGAAGAAGAAGAATCCTAGACTTGAGCCCTCCTCCTGCCTCTGACTGTTCTTCTAGTTGTTTGGTTTTCATTGCTTACCTGACAACTAGGGGCCTCAGTATCCTCATCCATATAATAGAAATAATTGCCCTAAAGAGAGATGTAAAATTATACCGAGGATATGGCAAGGACTGGGTGTCTGTCCTGGCATCCAGGGGTTAACTCCAGGCACCGCAGATCCTGATCCAGGCTGACCTTCTCTATGGTCTCTCAGGCCATGTTGCAGGGCCAGAAACAATCTTTT